CCATCACCACCGCCGCCGCCGCCACCATACTCACGACCGACCGGGAGGACGCGACCCCTAGAAGGGAAGGTTGCACCGCCGCCAGTCTGCTTTCCTAGCCGCTCATTGAGACTCACTGCAGGCTGGGTCTCCACTCCTCCCAAACGGGAGGCGAGGCAATGCCTAGTCCTGTCAGTCCTTGGCCGCTATCAAATAAGTACATGTCAGTCGCGCTCAAAGAACTCAACTGTGAGATCAAAAAGGAACATAGATGCATACCTAGACGAAAGCGGCAGGGCCCTGAAGCCTCGACCCACTGGCGATGAGCCCGCCGGATGAGGACCGCTCACAGGTCGTGACCCGTGCCCCCTCGTATCAACTGAGGGAGGAGCCGATCTGGCCGATTCTCGATCGGCCCACGAATGGCCGTGACCGCCGGCTCATGGCGCACCCACCGGAGCAACTAACGGGGCATCTCCCCATTGTGGGTCACGTGCATGCACCGACCCCAAAGATGCAGGGGTACCAGCATGCTCCTCTGACCGGCCGGCGTGCCCCGCCACGCTTAGAGTAGGGGGTGCGAAGCCAACGACGCGTTCGAAGGCCACGGCGACCGCGCCCGCTTCGCCTCTCGCTCGACGGTGGTGTCCGAGCTCACAGCGTGCTTCCTTGACTCTAGAACATCGCCGCGCCTCTCCGTATCCCGCCCACCACCGATTGACGAGGCCATAGGCTCATGATGCTCCATCGAGGCCGCGACGACGTCCCTGTCTCCGTCATCCTCGGAGGTGCTCATGCCACCACCCATCTCCGTGGGCTCCTCCAACTCGAGCTCCGCCTCCACGTCGCTCCAGTTTTCACCTCCCCAGACTCGCCGGCTGATCTCCTTTTCCGTCTCAAACCGCCTCCGAGCCTTCTCAGCTCTATTCTTCTTTTTGGCAAGCGCTGCCTCTTTCAGAGCAGCTTGTGGAGCTACGCCCTCCGGACCCCTCAGAAGATGCGGCCGAAATTTGTAACCCGCAAGTCCCTACAAAACGGATGACTCAAAGTCAAAATACAGGAGAGCAAGAGGGAAAAAGGGCACGGAATAAGAAGAGGGGAGCATACCAGATTGGACAGCTTCGCGGCATGAAGAGGTTCGGGCGTTCCTTCAAGGGAGTCTTTATCCCTCAGTTGCAGCACTCAATCGAGTCGACTCCAGACTTCGTCCTTTGGCAACTCCTCCGGCGACGCACGGTCGGGATCCGTTGGGCCAGAGTAGGCCCACATCGGCCGCCTCCTCTCCGCCAGTGGGGTGACTCAACGATAGAAGAAGGCGTGGAAGACCTGCAACCCATCAAGGCCATACTGCAACAGCTTCTGAAGCTCCACCCCGATGACCTCCAATTTGTTTTGCCGACTGGAGGGACCCCACGACCAGCTCTCCCGCCTCTCCGGCCTCCTTCCGGTGAACGACAAGAATGGCGCCTCCGCTGGGTTCCTGATGTAGAATCACTCACCATGTCACCCCCGATTAGAGTCACAGGGGGAGTACACGGGGTAGGAGCCCGACGGCCTTGGCTTCTTCTGCAAGGTGAAGCCCCCAACCAGCGCGGTTCTGGGTGGCTTCCCCTCGGACAAGGCTCGCCCGGTGAAGATCTACCGGAAGAGATCCACGTGTAGCTCCATCCTGAGTAAGGCCTCACAAACGGTGACAAAACCGACAACGTGCTGCACCCCAGTCGGATTGAGGTGTTGTAGCTCCAGGACCCACTCGTTGAGGAGCCCGCGCAAGAACCAGTGCATGGGATATCCAAGCCCGCGCTCGTGTAAGGCGAGGAAGGAGACAATCTCGTTGGCCCGTGGTCGCGGAACAGCTTCCCCTGGCGCAGGAGCCCTCCAATGCGCCACCTCCCTCGACGGGAGCAGCCCCTTCTCGGCGAAAGCGGCCAGCACCTCCTCGTCTACGTTGGATGGCCTCCAGTTCGACATCACGCCCTGGATTCGCTAACAAATCAGTGAGTTCTCCTCTCCCTCGCTTTACCCTCTCTCTCCCCTCAAAACCGCCACGGCGCACGAACGGGCTTGGCGAAAAGGAAGAAGGAGGAGAGGCAGCAATTGGAGAATGGCGAAGGAATGGGATGAAAACCATCTCCCTTCCCCTATTTATTGTGGATAGGCATGCGGTGGAACGCGTCCTGACTGATGGGACGCGCCCTGCCCAACGAAATGTCGCCCAGTTAAAACGGGACATGGCCTGTGTAGGGCCCACCACTACCATAACCCAGGCACAGGAAACAAGGTGCAACCGCATGCAAACGACCCTCCGCCTTCCCAGGCAGGGTTTGGAAGGGCCCGCCGATAGGATCTCCGTCGAGGAAAGACTAACGGACTACCTGAGTCGATCGGACAGCTCAGGCGACTGCCAAGAGAGGTAAGGAGCAGTAGGATGCCCCATGCGGGCTATGCCGACTCCGTCATGAATGACGGACACGAATCCCATTCAGACATATCCGATAAGAGCTCCTCAAACCCGCCACTCGAGTCATCAAGATATCTTTACCAAACCATCCTACTTTATTTTATTTTCTAAATGCATAATCATTCATTCATCCTTCCTCATACACGCATTCACACATTCATCCCATACATCCAAAGCATTGCATATGCAATTGCTGCATCACAACGCTTCGTGTTGCGTCACAAAGCGATAGTCGCCTCATTCGACATGAGCGACGACCGACTGAGGTTCGAAGGCCGGCCCGCGAAGGGCTCGAGGTCGCCTCGCGTCAAACAGAGCCAGGGGAGAAACCGCAGATGAGCCTCAGCGGCCCTCGCCCGATCTGCTCAGAAGCAGATAGGGTCATCTCAACCTTCTCGTTCGATCCTAACCTCTAGCCATGCCCACAGAATCTCCATCGAGGGGAGGCCAGCGGGCCACCTGAGTCGGTCTCCGGAACGGCTCAAGCATCTACCGGGAGGTGGGTTAAGGAGAAGTGGAATGCCACATGAGGGCTATGTCGACCCCGTTATGAACGACGGAGCCAGATTCCACTCGGACATACCCGTTAGAGAGCTCACCGAGCACGTCACTCGAGCCATCAAGGTAAGCGACGTTAGCTCAGCCCCTTCGGTTGTGAAAACCATGGATGGGGTAACGCACGAAACTAGACCAGCCCCTCGGCCATGCCCGGCACTTGGGTCCGCGCTCTGTCGCACCCGATGTTTGGATTGGCGCCCGACGCCTGGGTCCGCGCTCCCGGAAATGATGGCTCAGAACGTTGACAAGTCAAAAAATCCCCGAGGCAATTCTACCCGAATCGCCCGGGGGCTCGGGGGCTACACCCACCGGGTGCGCTCGCGTGCACCCACTGGTAGGTCAAAAATACCCTAGGCGATTTCTAGCAACACCAAGGCCACACCCCATGCTGGGCTCCGCCTCGTCCGACTCTCGAAGGTTGGCTTCGCCTCGACTGACGTCTGAGGGCTGGCCCCGCTTCGCCTGATCCCTCGGACACGGTTCCTAATGGAAACTTGCGCCGCCGCCAACCACTACGGGTCAGAAAGTACAACCCCATGTCAAACTTCTAGCATCGTGCAGGGAGCGGTCGCGTCTCAGCACGACCCGTCTCCGCGACATGACGTTCCAGGGGACTCACATCGACCCACAGTGATGGACGCATGGTCCCGCATGGTCACTATGCTGCCTACACCCTATACGACCGCTAATCAGCATGCTGGTTCGTCGGTCCGATGTCTGGGTCCGTGCTCCGTCACGCCCGACGCATGGGTCCGCGCTCCGTTGCGCCCGACGACGACTCACGATATTACACCCATCCGTTGCTCTCATACAACGAGTATAAACAGCCCCTTCACGACTTTGCAGAAGTCCCAAAAGGGCTCGGGGGCTCCTGTCGGGTTCATAAACCCAGGGTCTCCGATGGGCCCGTTTTCCAGCAAAAGCTCGCCCTAGCAGACGGTATTACAACAACGCGTGACTCCTGGACCGGCCCAGATACCTAACGACAGGCCGGAAGAGCGATCCAGTCTCCGACCAGAAGGCCTGGCCAAGGAGGGAACGACACTCGCTTCCGACTCCGACCCGCTTTTCCGACCGGGAATACACCGAACCTCTGCTTACAGCTCTTCTCCGATCGGCGCGGTCGGAGCCGACTGGGAACGACCGACCGGGGACGCCCGCTCGGTGAGGACCCAAGAATCAGGCGGAGCAGATAAGACAAGGCGCTCAAGTCAACCGCAATACTGAGGACCGTACCCTACACACCTATAGGACAGTACCGCCAAGCCATGCCAGAAGGGTGTTTTGCAACCTTTCAGACATGTCAGAACACGAACAGTGTTGTGGGCGCCAGTATGGTAGGCGCCGACGTTTGCCATACCAGAAGAACACGATGGAGCCGACCACATGGATCTGGGCGTCAATAGTATTGCGGACGCCAACAAACTGTCTTGTACCCGACGGTGTGGGCAACAAGAATAGGAAGCGCACACACTCTCTCTCTCTCTCGTAACTTGTAAGGCCGTTCCCTTCACTTATAAAAGGGGATGCGCTCCCTCCTAAAGGACGACGGTCATTCCGACTCTCTTTCTCTGTTAATCTTTAGACATTCTGAGCACTCGAACAGCTCAACGGCTCTAGAACTCTAAAGCTACACAGAGCATATGTTCTCATACTTAGCGCACGTAGGAGCTCCCGTCACTCTTGGCCCTTCGGTCCAGAGCCCGACCGGACCTTTAACATCCCCTTCTTATTCTCACTCATTTATAACCCCACAGTAAACTTCGAGCACCTGGGCTCAGGAATAAAGTCATCGACCGACTGGAAATGAACGTAGAGCACGTTGCCTAAAGCTTTGATTCAGATGACCATATATTCTCATCTTTTAAGGGCCCTTCTGCTTCTGCCATATTTGGTTTTCACACAAATTTTGGAGCAATTTTATTGACATAGATTTTGATTTCAGCATGAACCCGGAAAAACTTCTGTGCTCATCCCAATTTTGACAATGGGCTCAGTGATCTCAACGTCTTCCAAAATAGGCAGTGATTCCTTTGAATCTGTGGTGCACGTAGTTCTCTTCGCTCTGGAATGATCAGAGATCAGACAGGTCTTGAAACACAAAAGTTCCCTCGAAATGCTGGAAGTTTGAGAAGAGTTTTAAAAATAACATACCTCAAAATCTAAGGGAGGGCAAGACAACCAGGAAAGTTCCTCCACTTGAGTCACGTCCACGGTCCGCGGCAAGAACATCATGATGTTAGGAGCTATTTTCTGAGCTGCTTGAAATGTCGCATACCTACACACACAGCCGTAAGCTTGTTAAGACGCTATTGTTCTGAGAGCTATTGATTCTATGTTTTCATCTTGATTGCTATACAAATGCTACCCAATTATACATGTATATACAATTTCACATTGAATTTTTGTGAGCAAACTTTGATGGTCGTAGCTACAGAATTACGGTGCAAAATGTGCAAGTTGCTTATCCGTTATCAGGATTTCACTATGAAGCTGAAACATGGATTCTCATTTTTATCTTTCAGCAAGGGCAAACAAAGCGAACAACATACCCGTCTTTCGGCTTCAGCATATCAAGGGTGTAAACTGGAGCATGAATGTATGATGGCCCTCCCCAGGGTGGTGAAAGGAACACCAAATTAGCCTGGTGGCATTGAGGCAATCAATCAGCAAATAATTTGAATGGTGAAATAACTGCACGTTCTTCTTTACAGTGACTAGTATGGTCAGGTGTCAGGGTACAGATATAAGTATATGACATGAGAGGTTCAGGATTCAGAAATCAGTGGCCAAAGCTTGGTCGGTTGGTCGCACTGAGCTTTCACAAACTGTGACGATCTTTCAGTCTCCCTGCACTACTGAATTCATTAGACGATACCTTGAGGAAAGGCGCCAGGCGGAAGAAGTCACCGACAATGAACTCGATCCTGTCCTCGACGCCGTACACCCTCGCGTTGTGCGCCGCCAGCTCCACCTTTCGCGGGTCGATCTCCACGGCGACCACATAGCAGCCCCTGCAGCACAAGGCGCGCCGCGGAGGCGGAGTCAGTCTCTGTAGCAGAGGAGAGGGCAAAGAGAAACAGGAGATGAGATGGCGCGGCGCCGCGTAGTCCCCGTGACGTACCTGGCGGCGAACTGGATGGAGTTGCCGCCGCACCCGGCGAAGGCGTCGACGACGAGATCGCCGGGTGCGGCGCGGGCGGCCTGCGACGCCGCGATGGACTCCGGGGTGGCGGAGTACCAGCCCTCGGTGTCCATGCGCACGCCGCGGTCATAGAGGTTGAAGAGGCTGTACCGGTGCGCCCAGTACTTGCCCGCCACGGCCGCCTCGGAAGCGGAAACGGCGGCGGTGGCGGTGGCGGCGGCATCGGGGCTCCGCGCCTCGACGTCCTGCTCCTGCTTTTCATCCGCCGCCCTGAGGCTCTTGGGCTCCCTCGGTCTCACGACCTTGCGGGCAGACTTGGCCGTGCGACGGCCGGTTTTGGGTGTGGTGGCGCCGAGAAGGCGGAGGAAGCGGTGATGGATCCTCTGGAGGAACCGGACGGCGTGGGCGCGGGCGCCGCGCCGGCTCCGGGACTCTGGCGCGGCGGCGGCGCTTCTTTTCGCCATGCCCTGTTGTTTTTATACCGCTGGTCTGCTAATGCTGGCGGGACCACGGGCCCTCGATGCTTCAGAAACAAATTTTGAAGGCCGCTAGTTTAAACCACTTCGGCTGTTTTCAGTTTAGCGAGGAAGACGACCAAAGAACAGAAGAACGAGATTTAGATGGCCAACGCATTGGAGCCAGCAAAAGAGTACAAATTTGATATCTCAATGTTTCTTATTCAAAACTCTCAATGTTCTTGTAACAAACAATTCTTATATAGTTATATAGTTAATAAAAGATGGGAATAGAAAACAACAGGATCAGCTCACACGCGGCAGTTCAATTACAACATAAACAACAACATACTTTGAAGGAGACGAAATTCCAGACGTACAGATTTCTTAACGTTTTACATTCCTGGTGTGCGATTAAATATGTGCGATTCGTTGGGTGCAGCGACATGCCGACATCCTTTGCCGATTCCTTTGCAGATCTGAGGCTTAGAGTGACCACGAGATCGACCATGGGATATGTGTGTTTGAAAGGTTCTGCATAAGATATGTGTGGTAAGCTCCTTAGCAGGTTCAAGAATCCAGAAAGATCGGATGAAAAGCCGGTAATCAGGACATCGGCAGTGCAAAGAGAACTTACTGCGGGTAAAGTAGAATTGTTGCTTCCAAAGAGAACAGAATTGCAGCAGAATGCCAGGAATTAATGGTTAATGCAGTATGAGCCTCACAAGTACTTGGATAGCCAAGGAAGATCTGGGGATTCCTTGAGGGCAAATGTCACATCGTCACTGTCAACCGAGAAAATGAGGTATTAGATCACGAGCAAGAGAAAGTAGGTTTAAACTGATGTTTGGCTTTGATTTAAAAAGTTTTTAATACTTTCGAAAAAAAAAAGTTTTTAATGCTGTTTTCAAAAGCCGACCTTGGATAGTTCAGCTGCAGCTTCTGCAACTTGTGCTTACTACCCTCGTCGCAGAGGATGATCTTGCTTTCACCAAGCTTGCAGCTGCGAAGGGAACATATACAAAAGTTACTGATAGAGCACTGAACTAAATCAAGGGAGAGTAAATAAAAGTTAGAAGAAATGAGAAGTGATGGAACATCAGTACAAAGCATCAGTGGTTATATCTCGTTAGAGAAGAATGAAATGCCACAGATGATGAAAATGTCCAACAACAGGAGAATTTTCACAAGTAATTCCCAGCTAACTAAAAGCAACAACTGCATTTAGTACAACAAAAGCTATGCCAATTGGACCACCTTGAATAATGCATGGTCCAAGTTTACAAATTCCACATAATCTTCACATGCTCAAAATGTCAATACGAAGGATGCAATAGCAATTGAAATGGATGTCAGGCTGAAGCATGCACTAGTCCGTATAGTCATTGCTTTCAATAATATTTACTAGAAAACTACTGTCTGACATTCTAGGTAGGCCAATTGGACTACCTTGAATAGGGTCCAATTTTTACAAATTCACACAATCTTCACATGCTCAAAATTTCAACACATGAGAAATGAAAAGGATGAAATAGCAATTGAAATGGATGTCAGGCTGAAGTTTTCACTTGAGTCTATATCCAAGCAAGCCCTAGTTCATATAGCCATTGCTTTCAATATGCTAGAAAACTATTATCTCCGTCCCATAAAAACATGTTATTCTGGGCTTGTCTGGGCTTGTCCTAAGTCAAAATATTTTAAGTTTGAACAAGTTTACAAAGAAGACTGTCAACATTTATGACATGAAATAGGCATACTACAAAAATAGTTCCATGATGAATCTAATGGCACCTATTTGGTATTTGGTAATATAGATATCAGTATTTTTTTTAGTACAAAATTTGTCAAACTTAAGATAGTTTGGCTGAGGATGAAACTAGAACATCGTGTTCTTTGGGACAGGTAGAATGATACATGCAGATGCTAGGGTTCGAAGTTGCAATAAGAACATGGCAATGTAACTGCATTTGCTATGACACACAGAAGCAAAGGCAACACCATCACTATTCACTAGCCACATTACACATGATGGTATGTGTACATGAACTCATGGAGTCAACAGTATGTATAAGGAACTTGAAACAGTTTCATCTATTGCAAGCTACACATTAGATTGGATTAGCATACCAAATTTTCACGAGTGTGTCGTAACCAGGCACTAGTTCTCTGTTGGCATGGCACCAGGAGAAAACTGTTGTTGCTAACTACAGAAAAAGAAAATATCTCGTTAGATTTCTTAAGCACCCATACTAGTATTATGTGCATGGCCCCAAACAGGCAGGACATAAACAAGAGCAGTACTGTTAACATCTTGCCACTATGAAACTTCCAAGGTAAGCATGAAACAGTTCATTGCATGCCTCAGTTCACATGGAAACTTAATCAGATACGAAGCTAGTGGGGAAAAAAAGCACCACTTAGTGTATGAAAGTATAATTAAGACTGGATGATAATCATTGAAATGAACAATACAGTGAAAAAATATTGCACTTGCAATAGTTCCATCCAGTTTTACAATTGCAGCAGGGTAAGATAGAAAAGAAAAAAAAGTGGTTAATGGAAATAGGGGACTGCCTAAAAAATGAACAAGGGATTCTGAAGCCTGAATAAAGTCTGGAAGTCCAACAATACAATGTCAAGAAAAGTTTAGCCATCAGAGAAAAAAATGTCAGCAAAACAGAGGAAATCCCAAATGAACAATTTGTAAGGTAGTTTTTGGTCCGCCGTCCGCATACCCTACTGCCAGCATGGGGTGGGACAGCCACACAAGGGGCCATGCCAGACATAACTGACGCTACAAATTTATGTACCAATGTAACTTGTTCTAAGTATTGGATTTGAGTCAACATCATGGCACATAGGCAATTAAGCATGTAAGCCTAAAGGCCATCTGTATACTCTGACTCCTGGGCTTGGCAAGGACTTTTTTTATTTCCACCAACAGAATAAAAAATCAGAAACATAGGGGCTAAAAAGTAAAGGGCGTACCCAGTGCAGAGAGCTCCCGCTCTGTGCGGGGTCTAGGGAAGGGTGTTAGTGGCAAGCCTTACCCTCGCCTGTGCAATGCGAGGAGACCGCGACTCGAACCCGGGACCTTCCGGTCACAGGCGGTAAGACTCTACCACTTGCACCAGGCCCGCCCTTCAGGGGCTAAAAAGTAAAAACACACAAAAGATAATCTAACCTTATCAAACATTATTTCACCTAGTCCGCTTTTGTACAGCTCATGAACTAAGGCAACCAATATAACTTTTCCAAACTTTGGGCAATTCTTCATCACCTGTAAATAAAGAGATAAAAATGTTGCAGAGATCCAAATAATGATGGGTGGTCAAGTGACTTTAATAATTGATCTGGTTATGGGTACAAGCTTGCATAAAATGCACATTGTCAACTCACTTGAATATGCGATGCCTGGAAGACTTCCTGAATTGCAGCTTCTATGTCACCCATGGAAACAACACCGTCACCTACAAGTATCGGATTCATGTTCAGTGGATTATATGCAAGTTGGAATTTGACCCAAACAATGGACGGTTGAAGTCGTAAAACCATAACACGAATGGTGGATTTGTACTGGTGGTCGAGGTTTATGTGACCATAAGTATAAAATAATCCAGTGTACACACTTTTTCTTGAATAGTTGATTCCAACACAAATGTGCACAGTACCTTTATTTGCAGAAACAGTACCCTGTGCAGACTGTCGAGATTGTTTAACACGGTAGTCTGCAAACTCTGCTGCCCGTCTACAAATCTCTAAAGCTCGCCTAGCATCACCTGACATAGCAGCTACCTACAAGCAAAGGCAAGTAAATGGAAGTCCAAACCAACATTACAATAGAAAATGGCATGATCTTCGTACAAGTTAATTAGTGACAAGTGAGGAGCGTAAATTGACAGCCATTTAAAATTCTTTGTTTCCCCAGGCTTCAAAAAAATTGATCTCTGCAATGTGAACTCATTTAATGTAGTCCCTATGGTTATGAATTACACTTTGGCTAAAATACGGTCAATATTTTAAAGTTTGGACATTCAGTTTGCAAAAATGAAAATCACATGCAAATATTTGTCTTGAATAACACTTTCAAAATCTCATGCATTTATTAGATATTATAACTTATCTTAGAAGAAAAGGTATGGTCAAAATTGCACCACGAAAAGTCGAAAACTATAAAAAGCAAAAAATGTCGTGTTTTTTTTATCGGAGGGAGTACTAATATTTTACTTTGATTTGATGCCTAACGCAAGTATCATGAGTTCACTTATAATCAACCATAACATGAACTTACCACCTCATGTGTTCCAAGGAAACCTCAAAAATGGTGGAATGATGCAGAGAATAACAGCTATGGATAAAAAGACATTACAGCAAACATAGAAACATGGTATTGCAAGGCAAACCTTTCTAGAAGCAAATTCAATAGCCTGTTCCTCAAAGGCACCAATACCCTTTAGACGGCTTGTTATAATTTCCTGCAGTTGCCTATAATTGTATGGACCAAAACACAGTCGTTGGATACCCATCCGACTTGATATACGAGGCAATAACTTTTCTGGAAGATCCATTGTGTTTGCTATACCTGCAATCATAGCAAAACAGACAAGGGGTAAGTAAAAGGTAAGGCTAAAATCACAGGTCAAAATAAAACAATAGTTAGTTACCTATAACAACTAGATTTGAATTTGGCTTGGTGGGCCAATCAAGAATGTTATACAGCACCTGATAAGAAAAAATACCAGTGTCAAATGATAGGAAAACAAATGCTAATACCAAACAGCCAGTTTATTTATTATTAATCTCCCTGGTATAAAACCTATGAGCAAAATAAACAATTATAATTTTGGATTGAATTATTACCGATTGGTTTCTTGTCAAAAGAAGATCAAGCTCATCAATGAGCAAAATAATCGGCTGGTTTGCTTGCTTTCCAATTTTAGTGCCACCTGAAAAATGTTCTGTTAAAAAGTGAAGAGCCTTTTTACACCCAACCCTATGCCCACTCAACTGTTCATATACAACCTGCAGATTTTAAAAAGAATACACCAATTATAATTCTTTCCTGAGGGTTATGTGCCAGTTACAGTTGAGTAGGGCAGATTTATTTATCATTAGGCCACAAAACAGAAGTACCTTGTAGATATTCTCTGGAGATGTTAATTTAAGACCATTAATTTCAATAAAACAATATGGCCTCAAAGTTCCAGAATCAAATTCAGATCTCAGCCTCCTCATAACCGCAAGTACACTCATAGTCTGTAGGTTGATAAAAGAGATGCAGAAAATTGGTTTAATGTTTAGCCATGGCAGATGAGATAAAACCATAAAAGCACCCACAAAAAGAGTAGTACCTTGCCAGTACCAGGTACACCATGTATATATAGGCAGCGTCCTAGGCATTGGTCATTGCAGATTGCATCCTTTACAAATATAGATATCTCCTCCATTTCTCTGAAATGAGACTTCAGCTGAGTAGCAGTTTTTGTAAAACGCACACAATATTCAGTCAGATGAATAAACATACTTATCCCTGCAAGGCAATGACTTAGGAAGAGTTGCCAATAACAGGGTTGCTTTTGCCTTCTCCAGCTCAGTCTTTTGGTGGCACCGAACATGCTCAGGAATTTTTCGTATCCCAATTTTTTGTAGGCCATATATTCTACCTTTCCTTGAATTCTATGTATAAATATGTAATTTCAGTAAAGAAATACAAAACAGAAGATGAAGAGAGAAGAGAAGGGTTGTTACAGCTGCCAATTCATGTGATTGATTCCTTCTGGCAGAGAAAGATGATGTAGGTTCTTCCTCCTCATCATACTCTGAATCTTCATCAGTGTCACTGTTATAATCATCTCCGGCATTGTAAGGCTCGTCATTGGGATCTTCCTTTGTCTACAAGAAATGAGTAGGAACAAGCGTCACTGGGTACATCGCAATGGTGTCGAAGCTTCAAAGACGACTGTTTTGCATCTCAAGAGTTCACGTGCATACCTCCAGCCCATCAACAATATCTGCCAGACGCTTAAAATTATGCCAATGTATATCATACTCATATTCACAATAAAATACATCATCTCCATCATTAGCATCCCTAAAGTCTTTGGGGCTCATTACAGAACAATGTCTAAGGATTGTTTCCATCTGTACAGGCCATAAGCACAAAGAACTCAAGACAACAAAAGGACAAGCGAAGAAAAATTGTGAAAGAGACAACTATACACAGAAGACAATGATCACCTCAATGTCTCCAAGGTCATTGGTACGATACAGCTCTCTTCTCAAATTATGCGGCTGCCTTCCTGCTGCAGTCTCTTCAGGGATAATGTACCACCTGACCTTCGCCCAGAATGTGCCATCAGGCTCCCTCCATAAACTGTTACAGATAACAGCACCATTCAGTAAACTCACAAACATTGCATTAAGTGTTAAGTATCATTGACACATGTAAAGTGTATCTGGTGACATATTGAGGAAATAAGGAACATCTACCATCACAGATTGCTTTTTTAATATTTTTTGCAAAGTTTTGAAAATCGACGATTACGTCTCGCCTAGGCGCGCCTAGTCGCTAAGCTATGGCCTGGCGCCTGGACTAGGGGGGTAATCGCCCCTCTAGGCGTGCGGAGCGACTAGGCGGCGACTCGGCAGCGCCCAGGAGCCCTAGGCGGCGCGGAATCGAGCTAGGCGGGCGACGCGGGCCATCGCACAGCCTTGAAGAGAATGGCTCATGCTGGCGAGCACGCGCAGCAGTCTGAGAGCTCCAGCGCTGAAAAAGCCGCCTGGCTGCTGCGCTGGAGAAGGATAAGGGGGAGAAGGGGAGAGAAAGTCGTACTCGCCTCGACCTCGACCTCCGCCGGGAAGCAGGTCCCGCCGGCTGACGCTGCTCGCCTGGAAGCAGATCCCGCCGGCGAGCCTCCTCCCCGCCTGGCAAGACCCGCCGGCGACGCTGCTCCCCGCCGGTCTCCTTCCTCCTCGACAAGCTCATCCCCGCGGGTCGTGCTCCTCCCCGCCGGGAAGCAGGTCCCGCCGGCTGCGCTGCTCGCCTGGAAGCAGATCCCGCCGACGAGCCTCCTCCCTGCCTGGCAAGACCCGCCGGCGACGCTGCTCCCCGCCGGTCTCCTTCCTCCTCGACGAGCTCGTCCCCGCGGGTCGTGCTCCTCCTCGCCGGTCTCTTCGTCTTCGTCGCCAAAAGCTCCTCCCCGCCGGTCTCCTCCCAAGGTCTGTATGTCCTCCTCCCCTGCTCCTCTGTTTCCTTCCCCTGCTTTGTCTGTTTGCAAACATATACAGCCGGTCTCCTCTGTTTCCTTTCCCTGCAGTTGTTCCTTTTCCCTGCTCTCCTCTCCTCTGTTTCTGCAACTAAGGACAAAGGACCTAAGGTATGTCTACTGGTCCTTCCCTATTTTTTATCTAAATTATTCATGATTTGTGCTATAAATGTATATATTATATATTGATATATAAATATAAATTGGCAAAACGCCTAGAAAAACGCCTAGCATCGCCTAGGCTAGCCTAGGCTGGACTAGTCGCTAGGCTAAGGGTCATCGCCTAGATTTGGCCTAGCGCCTAGCAAAACTTTGATTTTTTGAGAAACAAACAGAAGAGGATGAAGAGGCACACCTCAGTATAGAACAACAATACCTTGCGAGCAAACCTGAATGTTACAACTAATAATAAAACTTTTTACACATAACTCAGTATTGAAACACTTAAACAATGAATAGGACAAATTATTGCACAATAGATTATAACACCGCAAGTTAGTTATCATAAGTGGTCGGCAAGTCAGTAACCAGTAACAACAGGTAAGCGGTAAGCACCTTCCAGTTCACAAGTAGTCAACTATAACCAGTTAAAACATGTTATATAGTATAAGAGAAAAAAATCCTAGGCCAATTTTCAGAAATTCGTGGCTCACCACTTAACTTCGAAACCCAATGCAATGCCAAAGCCTCACTGACCTCTCGATGCGTGCAGCCCACAGATCGCTGGAAAGGAGTTTCTCCCTGGCGGTCCTCACGATGCGCTTGCCCTCAGGCGGCCTGGGCCGCTCGACCACCTTTCCGGAGCCCTCTGCCTCGCAGTATGGACACGCCCAGTCACCTTCAGGCACCCTCCGAAGCGGCGGTCGCACGCAACGCAGGTGGAATCCGCCGAGGCACGCGTCGCACTCCACCATAACCCCGCCGCCGGTGCGGAAACATACGCGGCACTCCTCCTCAGGGTCCTCCGCGTCAGACTCCGCCGCCTCCCGCCGCTTCACGTACACGTCATCACCGACCTCGAACTCCCCGCCGTCATACACCACCTTCCGGTAGTATGCCCTCTTTCTCAGGTGTCGCTTCTGCCTCTTGGGCTCGCGCTGAGCAGGGGTTTTAGGTGACGGCGCGGCGCGCTTGCCCCTGGAGGTAGGGGTCGGCGTAGCCTTCACCTGAACCTCCAGGGCGGCTTTGGTGGGGGTTTCAAGGAGGCGGCGCGAGCGCCGGACGGTGGAGGGTCTCGCCGGAGACATCGGCGCCGGCGAGGCCGTCGATTTGGACTTCCGCCTGGGCGTGGGCTTGGACGGGGTGCAGAGGTCCATCCTGGACTCAGCGGGGGCGGCGACGGGCTTCGCCGGCGAGGATCTGGGCTTGGATTTTGACCTGGAGGGGGTGGCGGCGAGATCCATTTCCGGGTCTCGCCGGAGAAGGGGTGAGAGGCGGAGGAAGGGGGAAATGTGGATTTGAAATGGAGGGGGCTGATGGGACTGGCGGAGTTAGGGTTTCTGCCGTTTGGCGCCCATTCGCACTGCAGTTTTGGCATTTTTGTAAATTGCTCCTTTCTTCTTATAGTAATTTAGGTCAGGTACAGTTTTGCTTCAATAGCGAAACAACTTTTTCCAGCTCCACGAGTAGTTGAAGCTGAAGTTATTTAGAAAAAAAAAAATGATTAGTACAACGGTTTCTCATGATAGATAGGCTAGAGGGAGCTAAAAGAAACTAGCAGCCTGTTCGGGAGACCGTATCGTATCGTGGATTATTTACTTCTGGCTGGTTTGGTGTGAGAGAAAAACACTGTTCCTGGCTGGAAATTTACGATCGTTTACGAGCAAGCGAACAGGCTGTAGCATTTTCAGTACTATTCGGCACCAACACCTACATACAGCCTGTTCGGTTAGCTGGTTCGTTTCGTTGTTGGTTTGTAAAGAAGTACTGCTGGCTGATTTATGTAAGAGAAAAATATTATTCTGGCTGAAAATTTACAATCGTTTACGATAAGCCACAGCCAAACGATCGGGCTAATAGTCATTTGAATAAGCTCCGTTGGATGTCATATGGGTGTTAGGCCCATTGCTCCCGAGGCTTTATCCATTGTTGCACGGGAATTTCTGGTGGTGCCGAGAAATCTTCCCAATGGGTAGTTTTAGCTTGTAGGCTATAAATAGAGGGGTGGCCGATTAGAGGGAGGTTGTTTGTGCCTAAGGGTTGTGATAAGGATATGTGTGGAAGAACCGCCTAATCTAATATCTTCCATGAGTACTTGTCTTCCATCAGACACTAAGTACTCAAGGGAGGATACTAAATTAACCTAAAAATCTACATTTTTCTATCAGGATTACAAATAAGAGAATAAAGCTTACAATATTCTTAAGTCATTTCTTACATCACTTTCCATGCAACATCAGAGTATAATATTTATTGTTTATAACCAGCGGAATATAACCATGTTATCAGAGTTTTAGCAGAAACAAAATCATTTAATGACCAGTTAAATATTAACATGATGATCCGTTATATACATCATAACATGTTATAAGTTTTTTCTTTGTAAAATATTTTGGGTGAAAGTTTCAAATAAACTCTATGTCTGCAACGTTAAGAAAATCCTCGCTGAGCTCACAAGTGTCAGCTTTAGCATCCACCTGACACCTACAATAGGGTAGAACAAACTCTGAGTACTCAATTGTACTCCGCAAGACTTACCCGTCAGAAAAAAAGAAATGACTCCAAGGATATGCAAGGCTATCTGGCTTATGGATTTATTACATCTGCAGGAGCATTACTAAACGTGTGTCCTTATATTTAATTTTATTAACAGTCATCATTAGTTCATTAATTAACCATTCTATGTAAGCACATATGCTACTTTCAAGCAAGTGGTAAGCAATTAGAACCACTTTATCATCTTTCATATTACAGTTCTTATTACGGTGCTAGATCGTAAACAAGTCGTACCGTATTATACGGCGATTCGTGAACCAAAGTATTCCAGCTGGGTACCTCGAAACACACGCCCCGCTTGTTCCTCATGCACAAGCAAAACCAACTCACAACTCTTTTGTCAAGGGGTCCAGGTCTTCGTCCAAACTTGGACTCCAAGCTCTCACACCTGAGTCCTGAACTCAGTGTGGTGCTTAGACCTTCACCATCCCCGTCTCCAATCAGTCGGTTCGGAAAGAGTCGGAACCCACGACAAGAGAGCAACGAGCCTTCTCGCTCCCATAAGCAAGCATGTGCTCAGGATAATAAGTCTGTGACTTGACTAGAATTCAATGCAACGGCCGGTCCTTATTCGACATAGGCGGAACAAATGCAACCCGAGCCTCGCTCGAATGCCTAACCAAGTCTAGATCCAAAGTACCATTTCGCCCGATCTCCAATTATCATTCATATATACATTTCATGTGATAGTAATATAATGACAACAATAGTATCTTTCATATCTCTCGCGAGTAACAAGCAATCACTCGACTTCTATCGGACTTCTATAGCATAGCAATCTACACGATCCTGTCATACTAGTAGGACTCGTAGGATATATAAATATATATATATATATATATATATATAAGTGGTTTTTATTCAACTCTTTAAAACTTAATGCATAAACATAAGATAAAAATGCATAATAACAGGGGTTATACACCGGGGCTTGTCTGGGTAACCAAAAGTTAGCATTCCATCAAGGTGACACGATCATCAATACACCATCTGCTTCAGCTACTCCAGACGACTCCGCAATCCAACATCGCTCCTGTCATGAAATACGTGGATGCAACACAGGGACGTAAATAATCAAAGGCAACCGCAACTTAAAATATGATTACATCTCGCAAGCTAACGAGCTAGCTCTAATGACTAACATACTAAACCATGTATCCACGTGGTTAAGTGAGGCTCGTTTACGGAAAAAGTTTTAGTTCTAAATTCCCAAGGTGTTTCTTTATTAATTATATATATAAACTAGGGCTCATTTAGCTAACTTAGCAAACTAATTATTATGGAGCTACAAAAATTACAATGAGCACCTAATAATGTTAGGAATCTACTATAAAAATTTTAGGGTGAGTACTACTACCAATTCATCACAATAATTTCTACAAGTTTATATTTTATCTATTTTATAATTTTTGGTTTTATATTGAATTTACAAGTTTATCTTAGAAACTAAATTAGAAAATGCTTTAGAAAAAAAGGGCCGGTGGTCCACGATTCGGCCCAGCAGCCTAAGCAGCTCACGCGGGAACGGCCACACGCGTAGCAGGCCGACCCACCAAGCGGCCCGCGGTGAAGAGCCCACGCGCGCTTGCCCATTTTGCAAAAGAGGGCTCGTACTCTTAAAAATTCAAACGACACCATGCAACACTGTTCCACTAGTCTCGAGTTTTGCACAAAGCACCCTAGAAATACCTCGTCTTCACAACGACCAGGTCCTAGATGTGCCTGTGCGCGTCGGCACAGCCCTAACTGGCATCGCCCGACCACGCCGGCCTACTGAGGCCCACAATGATGCGTCTACTAGACCGACATGGACCTCCGGACCTACGCGCAAAAGTAGAAGGCGACGTCACGTTCAACGGTGTACTAATCCCACCTATCCACGTCGATGGAGGATCCACGTGGCGGCGCGAGTACTCCGGTGAGTCTACGCCCTATCGGACAGGTCGTGATGGCGAAGAAGGGTCAGTGGCTCACCGCGGTGCGCGCTATGGAGCACAGCGGCGATGTTCTACGGCGGGACCGGCATGTCTCCACGTCACCGACGGGTTTCCTAGCCAAATCAACGTGAGCATCGGATAGAGGAGGTCAAGGTGAGCCTAGAAACACCACCAATCAAACCCTTACCTCAGGGTTTGGCACTTACCCCCAACTCTACCGGCTCGGCGGAGCACCTGGTCGGCGGCGAGCAAAACGCCGAATTGGTCGACTACAAGGCTTGTTTGCGCTTGGGTGCAGGTCGGTTTGCTAGCTAGATTCCAATCCTAGCCGTTGGGGCACTGAATCGAGATGGGATATCATGGACCGCGCGTTTTAAGCTTGCGAAGCGGCGTGGCTCCTTCGGCAGTAAGGCAATGGGGCAGCGGCTTCTAGGCCCGGCCAACCTCGACCGAGGTTGCGTTAATGAGCGAGAGCGTCCGCACGATGCGGCACAGATGGAGCATGTCGTGGGGCGCCGGGATGGGATGGTTTGGTCCTGGCAGGGCACGGATGGCAGCAGCGGAGATATGACCACACGAGCGAGCGGCACATCGGTTAGCGCCTGCGTGCGGCCACGCAACGACGTCGAGATGAGGGCATGGTAGGTAGGTTGAGAGGCGGAGGGCGAGCGCTACAGCGGTCGAGGTGAATCGAAGGATGGGGAAAACGCCACGATGACTGAGTGACGACAGTCGCAGCCTCGCCTCGGCGCTGCGTGCGGCACAATGGCTCGGCGCGGCTTGGCCAGCAAGAGGGTAGGCGAGGTGAGAGGCGCATCGCGTCATCGTCCCAGTAGGCGACACTGGCCTGCAGGGAAAGGCCGTGACCAGCCCGGGGCCGAGCCCGGCGCCAGCTGCGCACGTGCGCGAGGCGACCGTGCCCACAGGGCCAAACGGATGAAACGGTGACACGCACGCTTATTAAAGCGGGCCAAAAACTACTTACCAACTTGATGAACACTCAACCAACTCCATGAACCCAAAGTCGATACTAACACCTAGCTAACGAACCAAACCTCACGTCCAGAGAGCGACTAGAGAGGGAGATAGGGAGGTGCCAATATGGGTTCGTCACGCTGAACACCGGTTCGCGAACCGAGCATCGAATCAGGGTTCGCAGCGCGTTCTAGTGAAGTTAGGGCAATTTTAGAGCGGACAACGTGACATCTAACATAATGTTGACATATGCCATGCTCAAGCACTCAATTTGATGCAATCAACAATACCAAAACGTGCAACTAGTGTTTAAACATTTTTGTTAGAAATTAAATGTCAAAATAGCATTGTCTTACTACTTTTCTATACTTAGGAAGTTAAGGATTTCAATTGAGGCTAAGTAACCATTAACTCTTTTATCGCAATTTTTAATAGATCTAAACCTTGTTAACTTCAACCAATAAATACTTCATGCAATAGTCCATACTTTATACTAACCTGTAGGAGCAAAATATTTACCGACTTAACGAAAAGAGCTTATCTTAATGTCAAGTTTGATTTTAGAGCTCCCAAAACACTAGTTAGCAACATCTATTTTCCAAAAGTTAAAGTTGAATTGTCATCTACCAAGTTTGTACTTCCAACTTTATTTAAGTGTCACATACATGTTCTAGAGTATTTTTGCTTATTAAAAATTGGTTTTAAACCATAAGTGATATAACATGACTATTGAATCAACTTTCGTTTAGCATTTTTGTTGATCGTTTTGAGTTACGGAAATTGATCTACACACTTTATCATATGCATTGACACATAAATATGATGCTCATGACATAGTTTAGCAAGTTGCTTAAGCGGTAACATCGAGGGTGTTACAATATGCAACCTTCAGATACGATCATTGATTATAAGGTGAGCTCGTCTTATGTTTGCATAACAATAAAATTAAGAATTGGTTGCTATCTAATATTAGTATTTCAAACATGCCTATGAACAACAGTGATGATGCTGGAGCACAGATATACCATGAACAAGCCCGAGCTCAAAGTGCAAGTTCACCAAAGTTGAATATTCGGTTTAACACTACTTCATTCCGAAGGGCATAACTCTTTTCATACAAAGTGTGATTGGGGCAAATGAGTACATGATATAAAGCTTATTTGATCAGTTTTTTCAAACGGACCTGGTTTGACCTCAATATCACATCGATAAGGGCTCCAAACATCATGATAGGGTGCCTTATATTCACCCTTGAGACCCTGTCCCAGATCGGGGCACGCCCCAAGGAGCCCCAACAACATGGACAACACACCAAAGAATCCCTTGGGCAGCAGGGTCACCTCCTTTAGAAAACCAGCAAAGACGTCCAAGCCAGATACGTTCTACATGCACTGAGGTCCAAAACATACTCACCATGTGTTGGGCTACGCCCCATAGCTTTCGCACCCCCTGCGAGCGAAAAGGGGGAAGCCATCAGCAGTCGGCGCGTTTCGCGCGTCTCAGAGAGCAAGAAAGGGGGTTCGGCTGTTACGGTTACCTTTGCGTAGCGCGAAAGGGATACCGTGGAGAGAAGGTTTTCGCCCGTACAGGCGAAAGCTTGGTTATCAGGCAAAAGCACAAGATCGCTTGGGCGTTGGCACGAGATGACTTACCTTGGTGTTGCAGGAGATCTTCACCCTTTTCGATGATGAGGGAGAAGGCAACGCGTGGCCTAGGCGGCTGCAGCTAGCTGGTGGGACCACTAGCCGCGGCGAGGGCGGTTGAAGACTAGGGAAGGAGGAAAAGGAAATGACCAGGACACCCTCGGCGAAAAGGAATATTCTCCCGAATCAGGGTAATTGTAGGGGCAATTGTGTCCATATAAAAGCTACGAAAGTGTATAAATAGCACCACACGGGGGGTGTAAAGAGAGAGGAACCTTGATTCCAATTTATGAGAATAAGTCGGGTCACTCGTAATGACCTTTCGCCAGTTTATTCTTCTCCGGGTTTCGTGTTCGTTCAGGTGACGACCAGGGGTTCTAAGGTACAATACCATGAATCTTAGGGGGTGTTTGGATCCAGCTACTAAAATTTAAGAGGTGTGTCGGGAGGATGTTGCATGGGGTGTTCGGATACTAATAAAAAAACAAATTACATAATCCGTCAGTACTCCATAAGACAATTTTTTTAGCCTAATTAATCTGTCATTAGCACATGTTTACTGTAGCAACCATTATCAAATCATGGACTAATTAGGTTTAAAAGATTCGTCTCGCAAATTAGTCACAAACTATACAATTAGTTTCGTAATTAGTCTATATTTAATACTCCATGCATGTATTCAAACATCCGATAGGACAGCGACTAAAATTTAGAAGGGACAACCAAACATCCCTTTAATCAATACCAAACAAGAAGGCGCATTTATTATGTCCAATCACAGGTCAACAACTCATGATGGCAGGCGGCCAAACCAAAATTTGACACTCATTTTGCTCGCAGTGCAGTCGGCCACTTGTTCGGCCTGGTTCCTACTTCATTCTGCTAAATTTTAATAATTGGGCCGAACTTTGTGTTGAAATCCAAATGAGAGCTAAAACATAGTTCCTTGGCGCAAAACCAAACAGAGCTCTGACCTTATCCCAAGAAAGTAATACCCCTCTATCTCAAATTATAAGTTATTTTAACTTTTTTTGAGAGCCAAAATATCTTAAGTTTAACCAAAATTATATAATAAAATAATAACATTCATGATACCAAATAATTATAATTAGATTCTTCATTAATTATATTTTTATAGTATATTTATTTAATATCATAAATCTTTGTAATTCTCTCTATAATTTTGGTTAAATTTTAGATACTTTGGCTCTAAAAAAATTAAAATGATTTATAATTTAGGACAAAGAGAGCACTACCTATGACGACTCTCTTCTCTTTGTACGGACCCAACTTTCTCCAAGACACGTAATATTTTGCTTGGGCCGCGTTTAGTTGCTGCCAAAGTTGGCGCCGCCTGAAATCTACGGGTACTGAACGCGCAGTAGCATTTTGTTTGTATTTGGTAATAATTGTCCAATCGTTGACTAATTAGGCTCAAAATGTTCGTCTCGCAAAGTACAACCAAACTATGCAATTAGTTTTTGATTTCGTCAACATTTAATACTCCATACATGTACCACAAGTTTGATGTGACGAGAAATCTTCTTTTTGCATAGTGTCAAAGTTTGCATTCTGGATGAACTAAACGTGGCCTTGGATTTGTTCTGGACAATGCGTTAATTAATCAGAACAAAGACCCGTCTCCCTTTCTCCAGTTCTCTCTGATTGCGATTTTTTTTTTAACAACAAGCATATCTTTCAGTGAGACCGGGGTCCGAGATTACAACAAACTTGCCATGAGAGTGACAAGTTATGAAGATTGGGGGAGGTTGAGAAGAGACGGGTAGAACAGCTTGCTTTACTTTTAAGGCTGCGTTTAGTTCGTGAATTTTGGAAATTTGGCTATTGTATCACTTTCGTTTTTATTTGACAATTAGTGTTCAATCATGGACTAATTAGGCTCAAAACGTTCGTCTCGCAATTTTCAACCAAACTATGCAATTAGTTTTTTTTTCTTCTACATTTAATGCTCCATGCACGTATCGCAAGATTCGATGTGATGGCTACTACAGTATTTTTTAAGAATTTTTTGGGATCTAAACAAGCCCTAAGAGATGAGCCGTGTGGGTGTGGTTCAGGTTCCTTCAACTTGTGACGCACGCTGGCTGCTGGGCGTTTCTGTAGGAGTAGTATGTGCTGTAAACCTGCACGGCGTGTTTTCTGGAATTCTGGCCGCGCCCAACTTGTGACAGCTTTGGCGTGGCCGTGGCCACCAAACCGTGCTCCAGAGTCCAAACTGAAGGACAGTAGCGGAGTACTAGTACGTGTGCAGCTTGCGCGTGCCCGGAGCGCTTTTCCCACGTCCTAGGGCGCCGTTCGCTTCGTTAAAAGACTATTTCAACTAAAAAATAAATTTAAAAGTAAGCCCTTGTTTAGTTCGACCCTAATTTCTAAAAAGTTGCTACAGTACCTATCACTCGAATATTTGCGGTCTGTGCATGGAGCATTAAATGTAGACGAAAAGAAAAACTAATTGCACAGTTTGGTGGGAAATTGCGAGACGAACGTTTTGAGCCTAATTAGTCCATGTTTGAACACTATTTACCAAATAAAAACGAAGATGCTACGATAGTCCCAAAATTCAAATTTCACGAACTAAACAAGGGCTAAGTATTATAAGAAACGAACCTGCCTAGCAAGCTGCCCTTCCAACGAAAGGGGCTAGCGGCATAGCAGGTGACAAGTCTATACCGGCACTTCCTAACCGATTATACTACTCCTGACATACCACACTCCCGTCACGCAGTAGGGCTACCCGACTACACAAGCCACCGCACACGGTGGGCCCGGCAACGATGGTCCCACACGCCAGACACTGCCTGTCCATGCTGCTGTCAGCTAGCGAGCCAGCTCATGGTTTTTTAAAAACCAGTTAAAAAAAGGTCAAACGGCTAATCTCTCCCCGAGGTGTCTCCCAATTTCTTAGGACCTCGATCTCCCGCAACTTTTTTTTACCTCACGCTGTTCTTGTTTATAGGCCACTTGTACCTGATGTCTGCATCCAACCTCCATTCATAACTCGATGCCCAGTGGTGTTTTTTGGAAGCCATCGGGCACCATTCGCCTGCCAATTTAGTTTATTGACATTTTTGTCCTTTTTTTTTGCCAGTTTATCTCCCGTTCAGATTTTGTGTACCAAAAGGTTCGAGCAAACCTTTGATCTGATTGATACCTTCCGCGGATAGCTTGCCACTCTCTTGAATCTTGATTCTTTCAAGACTTTTTGGATCGATACGATACAGACGCACCTACCACTCCCAGCTCCGATCTTGCTGTTGCTTCCCGCAGTGCGTAGGATCCAAGAAACCCCCGAATCTGTGCCTGGAGTATCCGTTATCCAGATCATGGAGAGATTGGGTAAAGACCAGTGAGAAATCCGAGCTCCCGCGCAGTCTCCTACCGGGCCATAGAAGATCTCGCGCGAGAGCACAAGCGACGCTCGAAAATGTCGCCGCAGCCGGCCCCCGACGACCTCGCCGAGGACAAGGAGAGGGAGACCAATGTCCTCATCGAGGCGGCCCCGGGGTCACCGGCGAAGGCGGCCGAGGAGGGCGACGGCCACGGCCACGGCAGGCCGCCGCCGTCGCCGGTGGCGTGGTTCCGGATGCTGGCCAGGGAGCTGCACTGGAGCTTCGTCTTCGGCGTGGTGGCCACGTACGGCATCAGCCAGGGCCTCGGCGGTGGCATCTCGCGCGTCGCGTCCGACTACTACTGGAAGGATGTGCAGCGGGTGCAGCCGTCCGTGGCGCAGGTGTACCAGGGCGTCACCTCCATCCCCTGGATGGTCAAGCCGCTCTGGGGCCTGCTCACCGACGTGCTCCCCGTCGCCGGATACCGCCGCCGGCCCTACTTTATTCTTGCAGGTGAGGAGCACTGCGGTGTGCTGTGTTGGTTTTTGCCTTTTTGGTTAGAGTCGCTCCTGAGTCCTGATTTCTGGAACAACCACTGTTCCTTGTCCAATTAGGTAGGAACTTTAGAACTGAGAAATATTCTTGCTGAAATTTAGGAGTGCAAGTAAAGTTTGATGACTTGTGCTGCTGAAAAGGTAGTGACAAAATGTGTCAATGGCAATGAGCATCAAACATGCCTATGAGCTAATGGCAATGAGCATCAAACATGCCTATGAGCAAGTAAATTTAGGAGTATGCACTAGTTGACTTTACACCTAGTAGGTGCAGCATAAGATGCTAATGGCTACTATGCACTAGTTGACTTTACACCTAGTAGGTGCAGCATAAGATCCAAGCTAGTAAATCGTTTTGAAATGATGATGAGTTCAGTACATCGTAATTTTGATTCATTGAACTGCATAAAGGAGTGCAAGCTTTCTACAAAATAGCTAGTTGGAAGGAATCAATGTGACTATGTAGGTGCATCTATTTTAAACAAGCTTTGCAGCGTAAGCCAAAATATGGCCTGTTCCGCTAACTTGCATTCATACTACTATTCTCTTGATAGGAGAATAAGCGTCATTTAGTAAAAGCATAAACAGAAAATGAGTATCATGTTTGTTTTGTTCCCTCCCTGTTTCTGAGGAGTATGCAGGCTTCATCGGAGTGATTGCAATGCTTATACTCGCTCTCCACAGCAAGCTTCATGCATTGTTCGCTTTGTTGGCATTGATGACCGGAAGCGCTAGTGTGGCGATAGCTGATGTTACTATAGATGCTTGCGTGGCGGAAAACAGTATAGTGTACCCTCATCTTGCTGCTGACATGATAAGCTTAAATGGATTCTGTTCATCTGTTGGAGGTCTTATTGGATTCTCAATAAGTGGTTTTCTTGTTCATGCAATAGGGGCTCAAGTGAGTATCACTAGTTCATCTCTTATAAAGATTTGTTTGAGTTTCATACTTTTCAAATTTCATTGATCTGCACTGATCGCTGCTAGAAGCAGAATGCCTGAATATCACCATCTTAATCTAATTCAAAGTAATTTCATCTAATGCATTTTTTCTGCATAATAATCAGTCCACTTTACTTGTGCTGCTTCTCTTTTCTGTGACTTGTCAAATGTAAATTAGACTGGCAGTCATCATTCCTTTGGATGGTGCTGGTGTATTTTTTTCCTTCAAAAATTCAGATGGTGCTTGTATCTGATAATGGATAAATCCTGCCTTTCTCAAGGGTGCCCTTGGACTGTTAACCATACCCTCTGCCTTAGTAATTTTATCCGGAACACTGCTGAAGGAGGTTCATATCCCCAACTTTCCATACGAGCAGGTTAGGGATGATGTTGTTCTTGTTTTCTCTTTGACACCACATATACTATCTTTTACACTAGTTTTTCCTTCCTGGCATGGCAAATTCAGGCCCATAAGAAGTTTGTAGAAGCAAGTGGGAAAATGTTAACAGCTTTGAAATGCCCTGAAGTATGGCGACCATGTGTTTACATGTACGTATCACTTGCGTTGAGTGTCGACATCCAAGAAGGAATGTTCTTCTGGTACACAGACCGAAGCGCAGGGTTATCTTTCCATGAGGTACATATACATATCATTTAGCTCTGATGCATGCTTGGCAGTTTGTTCATGAATATAAAGGTCTCTTGCACTTAAAATTCTTGTAGACCTGACACATTTCAAATGCCATTTCATTTTATGAAAATATAACATGGCTACTTCTGAAAAATTGTTCCATCTGAACCCATAGTCAAACTAACTATATGTTACTTCACCAGGGATTTATTGGCTTTATGTTCGCTATTGGATCAGTTGGTTCTCTTGTGGGTGTTATACTTTATCAAAATATTCTTAAGGACCATTCCTTTCGCAGCCTTCTTTTTTCGAGCCAGCTGTTGCTAAGCTTGGCAGGAATGCTTGATCTGATCTTGGTGCTTCGACTAAACCTTAAAATGGGGATACCAGATTACTACTTTGCGGTGATCGATGAGGGGGTCTCCAAAATGATCAACCGTATCAAATGGATGCCTCTTCTGGTGCTTAGCTCAAAGCTTTGCCCCACTGGCATTGAAGGCACGTTCTACGCATTGCTCATGTCCATCGACAACATTGGCTCGTTAACTGGATCATGGATTGGTGGGTTGCTCCTTCATTTGTTGAGAATCACAAGAACAGAATTCAAGAACCTCTGGGCCGCTATCTTGATTCGAAATATGATGAGGCTGCTACCACTGGCGCTGTTATTCTTGGTGCCAAGAAGTGATCCTAATTCCACTCTTCTTCCATCCGATTTGCTGAATGAGGGAGATGACGATGAAGCTCAGCGAGTAGAGAATGTCGAGTTAACCTCCCTCCCTGCAAACAGAGATTCTTGCAATGATAAATCTCTCCATGACTGCCAGATTCAGGAGGGCCTTGGTGGAGAACGAGATGACGACGAAGCTTCACTTCTTGCCAACAGGAGTTGATACTGGATGCATATGGAGATTTTTCTTTTGTACACGAGCAAATAGATAAAATTTATAAAAATCTTTGACATTTGTTTACTATAGAAGCTCATTTAGATGTCCACGTTGTTAAATTCATTGATTCTACAGCAGGGTAGTGAAGACTTGAGAGAGATATACTGGGGGTGCTTTGAGTTTGTTCTCCATTTTTCTGAACTTCCCCATATACCAAAGTTATTATGAATCAAACTTTGCTAAGTGCAAATCTTGACCTTTTTTTTTCGAAGTTTACACTTGGTGTTGAACAAAACTAGAGATGCAAGCGGATTTGTGTGCGAGGGGGGGTTGCACAGTCAAATATGTTTGCATATAGTGTTACAGTTTGGAATGCGTGAAAAAATTTCTGTTTCTGTGTTTTCCGGGAAAAATTTCGACAGGCCCTAATTGCAGATGTGTATTGCAGCATATTATTTTTTCATTTCAGAAGATATTTTTACATATAAAAATGATATATTTTTTGAAGAGACATGCACATAAATGATGATATATCAACATCAACATTATTTAAAAGGAGGAAAGATCTCACCCTCACCGGAGTTGACAAATCCCTCAATCAAACCCATAAAAGAAACCAACTTCAAACAATGAAAACTTGTTTTTTTTTCCTCGTCTCAAAAGATTTTTTTAAATTACACAGTACAATGTAGATGTACATAACATGTACGCACACTCACCCCTATGAACACACGTATGCAAATCCTATTCCTATAAACACCTTCAAATAACTAAGCCGACAGATCTTGAGATTCACGAAATCACCACGGGCGCCTCGCTGTCGACAGGGACATCGTCTATCATTGGAAACATAGCGCTGTTAAATGCGCTGTTAAATACTAGAATAAATCCAGAAAAATGCATAAATGATATATCTACATTATTTAAAGATGTGAAGATCCCATTGAGTTGACAAAAACCTCCAACCCATAAAAAGAAATACTACTGCCAACGTGGTGTAGAGTTTGACTCGTCGCCAGTAGCCAGATACAAGTCGGACTAGCCGTCTCACCGTCGGTGAGTGAGACTTGTGTTTTCCACGTGAACAAGAACGAAGCGGCAAAACGAGTCGTACTGGCACACAGCGCGCTCGTGCGTCGCGCCGTGCCAGTACTACACGGCGTAGCAGTAGTACGCCCGACCGAGCATACATATCCAGCCCCACCGCGTGGGCCCGCCTGTCACCGCGCCGCGCTGCTGCTGCTGACAGCCGCGCGCCTGCATCCAACGACCCCCGCCACTTTATCCACTCGGGGTGGGGGTGGGGGGGGGGCACCACCACCTGTCACCGACACATGGGGCCCAGGGAATCCGACCCCACAAGTCATCCACTAGCGCCGCCTCTCGTGAGCACGGCGGCGGCGGCGGCTATTTCTGGACCCTTCTGCTCTCCGAAAGGCCAAAAGCAAGCAGGCTGCCGTCCCGTCCCCCATTCCGTCCGCCCGCCTTCGCGCTCCCTTCCCACTGCCCTCCCTCGAATCATTCGATTCGCCTCGCCTCGATCTTGCCCGCCCGATTCGATTCGCCCGTCACGGTGATCGGGGCCGACCGGCGCTAGGGTTAGTTAGGGTTCCGGCGATCCGATTCCGCCCGATGGTGCAGCTGCCGAGCTCGGAGAAGCGGCACGCGGAGCCGGCCGAGCCGGCCATGGCTCCGTCGCGACGCGCGGCGGCCGCGGCCGCGGTCAAGCTGGAGGTGGAGGAGCTCGGGGCCGACGAGCGCGGCCCGCTCAGCAAGCGCGCCAAGGCAGCTCAGCTGATGCCCCCGACGCCTCCGCAGCCGCAGCAGGTAGATCCGGGGTCGTCGTTTTTTTCTTCCGGAAATTTGGTGTGCTCGATTGGCAGTGAGCTTGTTAGCAAGCTGGTCTCGCCATGTTTGATTTTGATGCCAATCGGGGGAGTTCCGTTACGATTTTTTGGGCTACTTAGTTTAGCGTGGTATTTTCGGGAAAGTAGAAGTGCTTTGCTGTGAAAATTCAGGCGTTCGATCCAAATTACCCTCATAATCGAGGACTAGATGAAGCTGCAACGAAGGGTGATTCTCCTACAACTGCTTATTCCGTGCCGATAAATTTTCTGCATGTCGTTTGTATGCAACTCTTGCAATGCAAATGTCCTCTGTCTACAGTGGCGGAGCCAGGATTCCAAACTTGGGTATTCCTACTTCCACGTCAATAAAAAAAATCAATTGTTTTTAACTGCAATGAGTGAAAATACTACAAAATATGAGCCAATTTGAGAGGCTGTTTTTTTTACTGTTTTGGGCTTCAATGAGTGAAAATACTACAAAATATGGCATTATACATATACATATACAAGTATATACACATATATACATAGAAGTGTGCTAAAATAGTTGGGTGTTCCTGGGAATACGGGGAATACCCTCTGTATCCGCCCATGTCTGTCTAGCTGCGATACAGGTTGTCATTTTATAGTTCACATTTACTTTCCCTGTCTGTGCATTCTGATGCTCTAAAGCAAGCAGGGAAAAAAGAAACAATAGTTTAACCATGCTCATGACGTCATATTCTACCATGCTGTTCAATTAGTTTAAGTCCTGTTATGGTACAAATCTAAAAAAAAAGGGCGTACTCAGTGGCTCCCGCTCTGTGCGGGGTCCGGGGAAGGGTGTTAGTGGCAAGCTTTACACTCGCCCGTGCAATGCGAGGAGACTGCGACTCGAACCCGGGACCTTCCGGTCACAGGCGGTAAGACTCTACCGCTTGCACCAGGCCCGCCCTTCTGTTATGGTACAAATCTATGGTTGGAATTTGCTACTATCATCTAGACACATAAACACAGGTACCAGTAACATGCTGTGGGCTTGGTGCCTTGACAGAGGATAGTACTGTACTGTACTAGTGTACGTGTACTCTGTGCACTAGGTAAGGTTTTGTTTAGAGGATTTCACTCCATCATGTGGCCAATATATATATGTGTGTGTTCATACTTTATCTGGGCAACAACACCTGTTGTATGTTCAAAATATATGTTGTTAGGAATGAACGGAAAAATATGAATAACTTTGTGAAGCAAATAATTCAGATTGGCTATTTATCCCTAGGTAGTTGTATGATTCTGTTTTGAGGTGTTCTTATATTTTCATCCTGTGGAAGTGGGATGGCTAATTAAATTTTATCAATAAAATATGATTATGCATATATAATTGTAGAATTGTCAGCTTTGAGATTATTGTTCTTATGTTGATGGACTCTTTCAGGATATGTACCACAATGTACTCGATGAACCTAGCCCGTTGGGTCTGCGGCTGAAAAAAAGCCCGTCACTCTTGGATTTGATTCAGATGAGGCTTTCTCAAGCATCCAACGTCGGGGAATCTTCCATGGACAACAGTGGTTCTGAGCCTTCCAAGAAGAAAGACAATAAATCTGGTGCGTCTGCAGCAGGCGAACGGCTAAAAGCTTCGAATTTTCCTGCAAATATATTGAAGATTGGTTCATGGGAGGTGAGTGACTTTATTTTTTCTGTTCTTTATCAGCTCTGAGCCTCTGATACAACCTCAATATGCATTAGGGGTGTGTTTGGTTTGAGGACAAGGGTGGATGGGATATGGCCATCCATGGATTTCGGGATATGGATATCCATGTTGTCTGTCTGTTTGGTTGGATGGATGGGACGAGCCATTTTTCTGTTTGGTTGGATGGATGAGATTGCATGGGATGAGAATACTTGACTAATTATATCTATTATTTAAAAATAATAACAACTAATTATACCCTCATAAATATGCACTGACACTAATCTTGTCATTATAATCACTAATTAAAAATAAAATATGTTAATTAGCACTATACTACTCTAATTGTCACACAAAACATGTGCTAATCAACATGTGGATATCCTCATCCGCTAGATTTTTGAGGGCCAGGATATCTAGCATCTACCCAGAATATTCCCTGTTGTGGATATCCAGGTTCAGCTTGTCCATCCAACCAAACACCTTGTATCCATGGATATCCATGTCCCATCCATGGATATCCATGGAACCAAACACACCCTAGGTGTATGTCTCCCTTTTTTTGCCTTCTTTGTTTGTTTTAATAAGGGAAGTACCACATTCACACTTCACATGAAAGACGCAATGCCGGTGAATAATGATGCTTTATTGTGACAGCCATTGCATTAAATTATATCATAGCTATCTTGTCTGTAGCCTATGCAACTTGAAGCTAATATTCATGCAGTTATAATACTGATACTCTGTTGTAGTATGAAGTGTTAGTGCAACACCGATGCATCTTCTTTGTTATCCAATCTTTTACGTATGTTTTGTTGCAACAATTGCTTATGAGCCAAACTCTGTGCATGCCTGCACATCCAGTAATTCATATAATAGTTCACCTGAACAAAATTTGCCCTTAAATGTCTTAATTAAAGTTCTCTCTGTTCTCTGTGCAGTATGTGTCACGGTACGAAGGTGATTTGGTGGCAAAGTGTTACTTTGCAAAGCATAAACTTGTGTGGGAAGTTCTGGAAGGTGGCCTTAAGAGTAAGATAGAAATTCAATGGTCAGATATTACTGCTTTGAGGGCAACTTGCCCAGAAAATGGCCCAGGAACCTTGGACGTGGCGGTACGTTTATCTGGAAGATGTTTGTTTCTTTTTTCTTGTTCTTAGTTCACTACCTCTGTTTTGATTCTGAGGTGTTCTCCTTTTCCTGAAGTTGGCCAGACCACCTCTTTTCTTTAAAGAGACAGATCCGCAGCCAAGAAAACACACACTGTGGCAGGCTACCTCAGATTTCACTGGTGGTCAAGCGAGTATGCACAGGTGAATTACTTTTAATTATTGAGTGCTCATAATTAAAATGAATTTCATATGAGAAGATTGCTCCTATATATCTGGCAGTACCTCATACTCATAGTACTGTTGGAGTATAAATGCTTTGTAAGCTCTAACTCAAATACTACCCAGTTCAAGCTTCACAAGAATATGGATGAAGAT